CCTGATGGTGTAGCTAAACGAGGCGAGCTCAAGCCTCCATTGTTGGATTTTATTGTTTTTGATCTTTGTTCTTTTCCTATTGTCGAGCATGAATGCTACAGATCTCTGGTCCGTGATCAAAGTGAAGGGTCTCCGTGCCAGAAAATGACTCCATTTGCGCACGGCTTCAATGATGGAGGTAGCTTCTTTCTCTACTGCAGAATGATGTAATTCACTACCTTGTAACGTTCTCGACATGTAGGCGACGGAACGACCGCCTTGATTCAGAATAGCAGAGATGGCAACTTCCGAGGCGTCACACTCCACAATGAATGGTAAGTTTTCGTCGATCGACTGTAAAGCAGTGTTCAATAATTCACTCTTCAACAGGTGGAAAGCTCCAAGCGAATCTTTGCTAAGAGGAAAAGATTTATTCTTTATCAGAGGTTTGATCTTGTCAGAAAGTTTGGGATCCATTTGGCATAAAAGGCGAACATTACCATTGCTCTACGCAGAGATGCCAGGTTCGTAGGAGGCGGGAATTCTTGGAGTGGGCGAAGACGTTCAGCATCAGGTTTTATGTTGCCATTTCCAACGTTATAACCAAGCACATTTATAGATTTCACCGATTATACAGTTTTGAACGATTTAACGCGAGATTCCTATTTTCAACAACAGATAGGAATTTTTTTAAGTTCCTATCATTTTCAGCTTGGTCTTGTCCAGGAATTGTAACATTATCCAAGTAAGGAAAAGTTTCTTTCAACACACCAAATGCACTTTCGGCAAAATTGGTATAATCTTCTATTCGCTTCTCATGCTGTAAATTTTCTACCAGACTCTCGAATGGGGATTTGATGATAAGCGCTTTTCAAGTCGAAGGTCGAGAAAACGCTGTACTGCGCAAGCCTGCATTTTACCATGTCGTCAATCTTCGAAGTGGATAGGCATCTAATTCTGTGTATAAATTAATGGTTTGAGAATAGTCAATGCAGAGTCTTCGCTTACGATGTTCATCTTTTACAACAACGACCTGCGCCCTCCATGGTGATTTGCTGCTCTCTATGATTCCCTCGGCCAAAAAACTTGATACTTGATCCATAATAAAGAGTTTGTCGTCTGAGCTGAAGCGACGAGACTTCGTTGCACTGGGCTTGCACTTTGGAGGCAAGTTTGGGAAGAGAGAGAGGGTTCCTCAACTTTCGCCGTGGCAATGATTGCTCTAACATATTCTTTCATCAAATTGAATTCAGTGCAGTTAGAATGCACGTCATGGGCTGGTCCTTTCTTACCCCATGAAAGCTGCGATCCTGTCTTACCCCATTTGACTTACCCCATTTGAATGGAATATGTATTTTAGAGCGTGAAACTTGAGGCAGGACTTGTGAGTCCCGTCAGTGGGGAAAGGGTTAATGAAGGAGTCCCTAATCATTTCCTGGCAATAACGTTCAGCAGTCACACTTTTAAAATTATTATCTTTTGGAAAGTCTCTTGAGCTACCTAAGAAATTCATCCAATGATTCTGATGTCAATGGATATGAAATGTGGCGAGGAAGCGGGGATGTTGCTAGGGCAAGCGATACAGTATATGTCAACCCAGAGCATCATGCAATGGATATGAAATTTGGCGAGGAAGCGGGGATGTTACTAGGGGAAGCGATATAGGTATATGAGATAGAGCTTGTTTTTTTCTACACGTGTTGAATCGGGATAAGTTAGAGTAATTCAGAGCCGATGATTTCAAGCAGCAATTTTATTTCTGATATCTTTTTTTCTAAGAGTGCTGATAAAAAAGTCTCCATGAGCTATATTATATTTTGAATATTTATGATTGGTTACGAAACGGTCAATAATTAATATAGAGGAGTAGCAGGTTACAATTAAGATTGAAAATTTAATTGTCAACAATTCGACGAAAATGTACCTCTGTAGTAATGACTACTATAAAATGAAGTCTACATTATTATTCGATGTATCAATAATGTCAAAACAGAAAATTTTCGAACATTTTCGGGGTACTTGGCAGTAGTTGTGTATTACTTTTCAAACATAAGTAAACATAACTAAAAAAATTGAGAAAACGTGTTTAATCGACGGGCAATAAATAGGACCACTAAACTTTTTTAGCAACATAATATCCGTGGGTTTTCTATTTTTTCTTAATAATATCCAAACTTTGAGGTGTAATATTTAAACACAGATGAATGTCCGAATGTAAGTGTTGTGAAATAAGTAATACTTGGCAATTCAAGCTTTACTCAAACAAATGTCCGGTTACCTGAAAAGAGAGTAACCGACATTAAATACTAATCAACATAACAAATATAACAACAACAACAAACAATTAAACGGCAGATTTAAAGTCAGCATGTACGTGGTAGAAAACTTACATTACATTACGGCGGTAGTTAGAACGCGTCAGCTCGACGGGTACATTGAGACTGATACGGTATAGGTAGTGAAGCAGACCATGTAACATCAGATAGTCATCTTATTATGAACTTTATTCATATAGAAATCAGGACTATATTACAACAGTAAGTGTTTTATTAGTTATTTACAAATAAATAATTCGTTATTCGATAATTCGACGAGGTTCGATTCAATTCAAATGGCCATACTTAAAACTTTTAATTTAACATTATCATTGCATGTAGTTTCCCCAACGCCTAAAGACGGAAGTACTTCGTAGAGCCTATGAATATAGTTCTTAGTCAGTTTTATCCGTTCACATTCCGTTAATCATTTGCTTTAAATTTTCAGGTCTTTCCATTTGATTGGCCAAGAGAAAATTTGCGAGCAAAATGACATGAAGACATAAAATGGACTTCACGAGACTCACTGGCGGTCAAAAAATGGCATGCGGAGGACGAGTAATCGGAAAAGTGGTCGAGCAAGAGCTTTCATATTTCGCTCATTACACTCCATGGCTGTTGTCTGACATTTTTGTGTTATTATCTTCTTTATGAAGAATTAAGTGATCTGTGGGCACAGCTGGGACTACAAAAATATTATATCGTCTTCACAATCAACTTGTAACATGAGATAAATCACAGCAGCGATTACATTTTATCCTTCTCCGTCGGGGGCTTTCCGTCGGGCATAATATTCATCAACCATCTAATTGAATGAGATCTGAGCGCCGATATATGACCGTAACTATTTTTTTGCATTACTCTTATTGTATATCTTCTAGTAAAATTCAGACACTAACTCACCACAACTTTTGAAATTTAATCAGCCATGGGATGTGCCATCAAAACTTGTTTATGTACATGTTAAATACTTTATAATACACCCAATAAATTGAAAGAACTCGCACCGCACTTCTGAGGAAACGTTTGAACTGCGGAGGATCCATGAGAGCATTACAATTCGAAGGAGGCCTCATGTGCCTGAGCATTATAAACGAGAACGTTAATAATACCTAATATGTCTCTGCCTTATTCAATATTCCCACATAACTACCGATTTTTTCTATTTACAAAGAAAGTAATACCATCTTCCTACAAGCATAGCGTACGTATGGGACTTTCTTGTGGACTAGTCCTTTATGAACGTTTACTAAGCTATATTCAAGACATGCCTTCATGGCAGGATAAGAAATGAACATTCCATGACGTACGGGTTGTAGAAAGAAAATTACACGAAAAGATTTAAGAAAAATATACAAATGATTCATGAAATGACGATGTATGAACCAAGACACATCAATAACAATGAAACGGGATTATCAATAATTTAAGTTTTCAAATAAATCTAACTGACCGAACAGCTTGGTTCCTCGGGTACTACTGGCTTCTATAATCAGGAATCGTATATCAAAAGAATCATTTACTCTAATCAAAGGAATGAGAAAGAAGTAGAACGATCAAATTAAACTGAAGCAAATAATTTTCAAGTCAATTGTTCACAAGAGGCTTTTACTTCAATATAAAAGTCACTGCATGTGCACGAAAAATATCACAGCTAAATACATCTCAGAAAAGTCGCCTAAGTCTCTTGTGTTGTTCGGAAATGAGATAAAATGATGAAGCTTGTGATATGTTTTGGTGCATGTGTGTTCACTTGTGTGAATTTTTGTAAATACAAATTCGTGACTTCATCTTTCTCCCAAATGTGGCAACGTCTCGCTTGCAAATATGCGCACAAGGTTTGTTGAGAATATTGGCGATTGGTCATGTGTGTCTTCTGCACGACGGATTCAAATGAACACAATCATTTCTTCACAGCCACTTCAACTTTAAATACTTTACCCGACGCAACGCTCCACTTGTGGATCTTAAATAATAATTCCACAGCAAATTAAAATACGGATTGCGGCATGCATGTTGACAGCTGCTAGCCTTTTCGTTGGCACTCCCCTTCTAAGCAGTAGTCACTTAGTAGCATGAGTACCAAGACGAATTCGTGCTGTCCTCATTTCATACAGACTCCTCTGGTTCATGGAAGTGTTCGGAGGCACGTTTATGCGCCTCTAGACTTATTATATATTTCTACCTGAACCTGAGGACAGGGATTCGTCGACTAAGTGCGTGAGGGATAAGTAAGACACCATCTGTCTAGAGAACTCATCTTGATAAGGTGCGGTTATGCATGAGAGTTATATTAGTGGTATAAGGCTAAGACGTCGACCGTTGGGTCGGAGCAGTTCTAACGCGAGTGAAATTGCGGCGCACTTGTCAGTTACTCTGCCCTTATTAGCTTATTTCTTCCGTAATTTATGTACGTTTAGCTAAAAAAATGAATGTAATGGTCATTAACAAAATCAATTTGACGAGAAAATAATCAATATAATACAAAACGATTCACTCTGATATATAACACTCCCGAATAAATTCAATAGAGCATTTGACTATAGGCGAATCAAATATTTCGGTTTGGCTTCCGGCGCGAGTGAATTGGCTTGCCAATTCAAAGGGAATTCCTGCTAGTTGCTACAAAACTACCGCTTTAGCGGGCTTTCCTTTACGCTACGAAATTTCTAAACATTTTTACTTCGGAATCAAATAAAATAAAAAAATTGCCGAACTGTAAACTTTTACAAATTCAATACAAATAAGTATTTTTTGCATTGTGATGACATGTAAATTATGGCCACATTCATCGTCCTAAGTAGCGGATTAATTAAATGTCTGTGGACACGCAGCAATAGTTCCGACATTATGGAACGTTCAACAAGGGCTGAAACGACGGAGGTGCACAATTGGTCTAAGATCCTGCATTTGCTAGATGATCCGCTCCTTTGTATGGAAAACGTTCGTCTTAATTATCAAGGATTTGTCGCTTGTGAGTATTGTGAGTAGCGTCTAAGAAGAGAAAGTTATAATTTCATAATCTGTATAAGGGAGAAGTGTTTCATGGAACGCATGTTGCGTCGATCGCATAATGCTTTGATCACGTGTTGCGACGATCGTGTGTTGTGGCAATTTACTTCGCCGCTCCTGACCGCTGTTGCAGTAGCCGATCATTTATTTGTGCTGAACACTTTCACTCTTGAGTTTGCAGTCATCAGTGATGTACAGATGAACCTTCGACCTGTTGGGATAAAGCAAAGTTTAAAGTGTGACATCTAAGGGTGTACATCTGAATGCTGTTCTCAAACACTGCCAAGCAGCAGAAAAACACGAGTATTTAACTGAGGAATCGTTTTCCTTCTTGACAAAGGAGGGGAGTATTGAGCAAGAATAGTTCATGATAAGAGAATAGAGCATTGAGCGAGAAGTTGTCATGATAAAAGAATTTTTAATTGTTGATGATGATGAGAACGCTTGTGGTAGGAGCGTTGTGATGCTGGATGTGGCTGATAGCTTCACACCGAATAAAAGTTATTTCTGGTGATTTTTCACGTGTCTCCGTTTGCTAATATGTCACTATATTGGACAATAATAAAGGCAGGTAGTTTCATCACACGGACACCGGTGTAACTATGGGTTATAAACTATATGTTGAGACATATTTCCAGTATTACTGAACCATCAATTAGCCTTACTCATCAGTGTGTATGTCATCTTGTCTGATCTTAATTTTTACCGCCCGACGATTGACGTTATAACATTTTATACATATTAAATCTCAGCAATTTCTTACTTGCACCATTTATGAAGGTTTGATTTTGTTTTTGTTTAGTGGCAAGATATTGGAAAATATCAATATTTTTCTAGGTACCCATGAACTTGAACATTACAATTACTCGACTAGCATATCTACGTTAACTAAATGTACAAGATTAAAAAAGACTGTCCAAAAAGTACAATATCTTTGTTAACTAATTCATTTGCAGCTGAGACATGTTGATGAGCTTTACACAGCCAAATATTGGAGTTTGCTTCCCTATTTCAATAACTAATCTCTGACAGCTTTAGATGCAGTGAGTCTGAAAGAAAAAAATCGAGTCTACTGGGAGGCAATCGCTGGGGGTTCACTGTTCACGCGTTTGCGTCCACTCGTTCTAACACTAATCACACCGTCATTAATATCAAACCTCTTGAACATTAAATTCAATTTCGCATGTAATATTGATAACTCACCGGTGAGTCTCGGCGCGCGTGTCGCCCTCGCCGCCCGTCCTGACGCGCAGCTCCTGGAGTCTCAGCAGCAGAAGCTGCACGTCTTCCGCACGCAGCTCGCTGTCCAGCACCTCCAGCTTCCCAAACCTGGACATAGACATTTTGATGTGCAAGAGTCAACATAAAACTTGAATAAATTCCATTCGTAATATAAAACTTGTTTTTACCCATCGCTCAAACCACATTCTTTTTTAGCCCTATAAATGAGATTTTCTACATGACTCACAATCCTTAATGATTTTCGCACAATAAACATAAACTTAATTTATTATTATCTGGCAATAAAAATAAACTCGTCATAAATTCAAACGTTTAGAATAAAATGAAACCTGGCTGACGACAAATTTTCATGATCTTCAATATTTTCACATTCATAAACCCCGTCAAATATTTTTCAATGTTTTTAAATGAGGTAACAGACTTTTGACGAGTCACAAAATTTACTCTAATTTCCGCCATCTTGATTTTTCACTGCTATCGTCGAGCACAATCATGTTAAATAATATCCTAACTCACTCACAGTAAACAGCGGACCCATTGTATGAATTTGCATGGAAGTTACCCTTTTCAGGCGGGTTAAAAGGATGAAGTTATCCTTTTAATTCTGGAAGGCTTAAACATTTTTTATCAGCATCTAGTTTCAATTTCCTTGTTGGAACGCTGTCGCTTAAACTTATGTTTGAGTTCATGGTGCTCTGAAACTTGCGCTCGTATTGGTGGTGAATAGCGTATGAGCGTTCACGAGTTTACTTTTCGAAAGTAAACATTCATTAAATGTTTTTTTCTCGTGCGCAGTTTCTGTCAGAAGATACAGTTTCTGTCCGGTTGCGTTCGAAATAACCTTCTGCGACCTTGAACTTAAAATGAATTTTTGGATCAGCCAAAGCATGCAGAAAGAAATTAATATTTCTTCCAACACTTTGAATGTGGTTAGACAGCGAAAAACCCGTCATCCAATGTTCCAAGTCGGTCTCTAAACCAGATACATAAAATTTAAACCATTAACTCCCTCGCCATACAGACCGGCCCCCGTTAGGTGCAAATGAGGCGACGGTGTGGGCCACGACCTCCCAAGACCCCTCATCCGCCCCGTCCACAATCAGTGCTGGTGAGGGCGATGATGGCAGCGCACACACAGCGGATCATCTAGCAGGGAGCTCAAAAGTCGCTGAAAATAGATATATATATATACGATAAAAATATTTTTAAATTGATGTACAAGACAACATAATTGAAGTGAAAGACTCCGTCGCAGTCACGTCATTAAAATAAAAACCATATTAGCGCTCATGATGAGCGACGTTTAATAGACATTAATTGCTGATACATAACAATTCCAGATATATGCACTTTTATACCGCACAGCAGAAGCTCATTATCTGAAATGAAGTGAAGAATTGCATCATAAATGACTTTAAAATCTCGCAGCCAATGGTTGTAGATTATTTAACTTAAGAAGATTTTATTCATTATTTTTAAAATAAATTCTTTATTCAGTAAGCTTAATTTATTTCTTGCATCTATTATAATTTATTCATTAAGTTTAAGAAAGTTTCATTTTTTGTTATAAAGTTTTTAAAACTGCCACACGTTCTTAAATGAATAATTGATGGCGCTCGGAATAACAAACGTTAAGGGATCTTAATGTAATGTAAAATGGCAGATATAAAGTTGTACAAATCTTATGTTAAGTGTTCCTGTGTGTAATTTATGATGTATGAATTATTTCTTAAATACTTCATAAATTTCTTATGATGTAGTAAGTATTTCACACGCGAGATATGAAGGTCAGCATGTTCTTGTTGAGCAGTTATGGAATAGCTTGTGCGGCTGCCCTTACACAAAATTTGTAAGCTTATCAATTAATGTTGGGTGAATAGGAAAGACGTTCCTCTCAGGGTTGACTGGGTTCTACTTCCGTCTCTGGAAGAGTTCGTCTCCACTCACTGAGTTGCTCGTACGTGCTACTGAAGGCGCTGAGGTCCAGGGGCGCCGGCATGCGGATGGTCAGACGAGCGTTGTGGACAACTGAAGCGAGAGCGGCCACTGCAGCGGGGGTGCCCACACAACCCTCCAAGTGGACCAGTCTTATTCTGGAATTATACAACAAAACCAATAGTATATCTATGATTGGGGGTTTATTAGACTGCAACAGGATAAATATGAAAATAGTTGCACTTACCCCTACGTCACCTCCCACTTCTGTGCAGAAATAAGTGAAGCCAACTCCACTGCCATTCATGATGGTCATTTTGAAGTAGAAGCACCGTAATGTGTTCAGTATGTATAATACAGGATAATAGCGAATTAAAAAGCGTAGCTTGCGACTGCAAAAAAATTTAATCATACTGAGAATTGGAATTTACATTCGACTAGTTAGTCAACCAAGTAAAAAAACACCCAAAAGAGCATCAGGTAAATTATAGAGTTAAAAAACAGTTCATCGTGAGGTGCAATGCCGATCCTCCAGCAATAGTCTGGCAAATAACTACCCAACATCTTTGACAACAACGCAATTCGAGCATGTGTTTGCATTGGTGTGTGTTGATGTAATTGCGATGTCATCTGCGTAGGATGAAATGTGAATGTTGTCTGGTGAGGCTGGAATGTCATGTATGTAAAAGTTGAAACGTTTTGGTGAGAGGACTGATCTTTGGGGTGCTCCGTTCGGTATGTTCTTTGTTTGTGATGACTTGCCATTGTAATGTAGGAATGACTGTCTGTCTCTGTGAAACACATGCTCCACACAAGTACGACCTTGCATCACACAACTAGAGAGCTGGCTAGCACGCAACAGACTCAAAGTAGCCGCCACTAAATCAACAAGCATACTACTAACAAACCACACAAAGGAGCATCAACACAGACCCGTATTACACTAAACAACACCATCATATCACACACACATAAAACCAAGATTCTAAGTATCACTTACAACACTTCCATGTCTTTCGGGCCACACCTACAGCACATCAAAACAAATGCTGCAGACCTAGGCTAAACGCACTCAGAGCCCATACAGAAAAGCAGTTAAACTGTGCAGACAGAATGCACCTGAGCAGACTCCGCTGTGGTCACCATGCCTCATTGTACTCCTACAAATACCGTCCGGACAGCACTAACTCGGACCTATGTCCCCAATGTCATGCACTACCCAACTACCAATACCGTCCCCAATGTCATGCACTACCCAACTCCCCAATACCGTCCCCAATGTCATGCACTACCCACCTACCCAATACCGTCCCCAATGTCATGCACTACCCAACTCCCCAATACCGTCCCCAATGTGCAATTTGTGTAATTACATTTGTATATTTTCATGTAGAACCAGTAGCTACGCGTTACTATTGTTTACTATTGCAGGACGTAAGTCAGATTACGTCAGTCTTTACCTCGGCGTCTTCCTCCTCGGTTGTGTCAATAAACTTACGAACCATTCAACCTTTAATTCCAACCCTACGGAATTAACACCCAATGTCATGCACTACCCAACTACCCAATTCCGTCCTCAATGTCATGCACTACCAACTACCAATACCGTCCCCAATGTCATGCACCACCCAACTCCCCAATACCGTCCCCAATGTCATGCACTACCCAACTACCCAATACCGTCCCCAATGTCATGCACTACCCAACTACCCAATTCCGTCCCCAATGTCTCCCAATACCGTCCCCAATGTCATGCACTACCCAACTCCCCAATACCGTCAAGCATCTTCTGCTTGAGTGCCAGGCAGTATCCAGGCTACGGGCAGGCATAACATACGTCGCACAGCTGAGGTCCGAGCCCGGCTCGGGTGGTGGCTTTCGCGCACAGATTGAGTTTGCTGGCGCGACCAGGACTCGGGGAACAACAACAAAAACGAAATTCGAAAACACTTGCAAGAAACAAGCTTGGGAAAGTTGTGCCGGACATTGGATTTATGATTGATAACAAAAATCATCTCACATGCTTTGCTTCACGTTTTTCCTCATTAGTGAATGAATCCCAAAAATCTCGTTCTCCGGAAAATTCTCACTAAAAATAGAGGGGTATGTTCGGACTTTAACAGAAATCAAAATTGCACTAATGGACTAATTCCTTCCAATAGATGCAAAATCAATAAATAAACATATAGATTAGTAAGAAAAAAATAACCGATAATGAACAGATTTGACGCACTTAAAGAAACATACTGTGATGATCGCATCTCATCTCATTGTTTTTCAATAGAATTTTACGTGAGTGTCTAATTAATCATACTTATTTCATGAGAAGCGAGTAGCAGTATCCAATAACTAAATATGTAACAAAATATGTGACGTGTTCTATTAATCTGTTCTAAAGCCTCAATAATTCTTCGTTAATTCTGGGTTGTGTCTGGCAAAATTGACACCTATAATAAGCTGGTCCGTCCTCACCCCGGTCTACTCCTATACTGTCAGTAGCCCCATGCAGGATAATTAAGTAAAATAGTCTACACGCCAGCCATGGATCATCCAATTAAACTGATGGCCAGACCTTGGGACTCCTATGATTAAGAAATTTTAACGGAAACATTATTTTTATTAGACACAGTGCAGGATGTATACTCCGTCGTAGTATGGAAAGTCTTCAACATACGAGCGATAAATACATGAAGACAGGGATATCATTTTAGAAGGCACGAAATTAAAATTTGGATATGAAAGTTAGTAAGATTGGGCCAATGTTAGTGCTTTTCCATCGAGCAAAAGCGTTCTTGCTTATCAATGTTGATTGTGCTGAGGTTCTCACGAGTATAGTATCTACGTCAGAGGTACGCAATGAACATCTATGTCGGCAATATTTTTTCTTAGCCTCGTGATAATTAGGCTATTCGTTTCCGTTATCGGTTTCGGTTCTCCATGTGTTGCAGCCGTCGCCGGTACCGTCGGGTCCACCTCGGATTACCGGGTGCCGCGGCTTCGGTGTGTCGCATTTGTCGGTTAAAGTCAGCGTACGAATTTTTATGCTCAGATTAGTCGCAAAAATCTAAAATATCGGAAGTGTCTCTGCCTATATGTCGATGCCGTACTTGGCTTATAGTGATCTGTGTAAGCCACTGCCGAAGCCCCTTTGGCGACAGAAACAGGCGAAATGAGCTTCAAGTAATATGCACTTATTTTTATTCGCGTTGAGTCGTCAGTTCACGTTAAGATGTTTTGTTGAACATTTGTTTCTTTCGTAACTTGCTTGGCTACGCAGATAATCTTTTTTGCAGGATTTATTTATAAGCTTGGCTATATTGTTAGTCTAAGAGATTCTTACTTGCTCCCGAGCAGTGGCTGGAGGATGTCGTCATGGGCATCGTATATACTCGCATTCAAGGCCCCGCAGCCGAAGTTCGACGTCCCCCACGCGACGCGTCACAAGTTCTGCCCACTGAGTCGCCCTCAGGTCGGGGGCTTCCATAGTAACCTTAAGCAGTCTTGGCTGCACGTGCGGTAACGTCGAAGAAATCTCTGCAAGCTCACGACCTGCGATGCGTAAATAGGTTTAGTCGGAATTTAAAATAAGTGGAAGTAATGGCTATTTCATACTCAGTAAAAAATGGTTGAGGGATTTCTGCTCAATCCAATTGGGACAAATTTTGATGGCTTCTAAGTAAGTGAAACTTCTTTCCATCTTATCGATTTAGCAATTTTGCAGTTTTGAAACAATTTAAAATTATAAATTTAAATTTCTGTTAACTTATAGCTAAATTTATTAGGAATGAAACTATGCCACAATTAATTTTGTCAGCGATTGCGTGTATTTGTGGAGCACGATATGTCGAGTAATTTTTATGTAATTTTATCGATGGCATCATATGTCGAGTTTTGCCCATCGATAAAATTGTCCATATTAAAATCAATCTTAAATCATTATCTATTCAACGGTATTCAACCATTCTTCTTAACAGATTCAACATCCTCTCTGATTCTGACTCCCAAAAGATTCAACATCCATTGAATCTGCTGAATCCTAGCAGATTCAGCAGTAAACAACACCAACCATTACTGATTGTCCAAATTTCGTCCTCGGCGCGTTTGGCGAGGGCAGCTTGCTTGACATTCTTTGGAGGCGCCAGCAAGTTCTGTACGTCGTGGATAAGCTCCAGTTTTATATCTACAAGTTCAGACTGGGGAAAACAGTAAACCTTCAGGCTTTTTCCACAAGTTCCATAAGTTCAATTTTTAATTCATTCAAAGCTGTCGGTTGTGATAAATATTCAAAATATAAAAGGCCTTGTTCAGCAGATATTTGACAGCACGCAGCTTATTCGGCAGTCCTGAAGCATCGCTCGGAATATTTTGTTTTTCAGGTTCCCAAAAAAGACAATCAAGCAGTATGAAAGATGAAAAATATTTAGATTGTCATCATTTTTAATATTTTCTAAATCAAATGCACCAAATGCAAATCTCCTTTTCCATTCCTTATTCGAGTAAGGGCTTCCGCGCCGGCGCTCCACGTACTGCCTGTAGGTCTCATCGCATGGCTTGTCTGCACATTCCAGGCTTGTCTGCTTGCAGGCTACTGTCCGAACCGCATGATCTTGGGAGCCAGGGACAAAATAACGATAACATTGCAGTCAATTGTATCTCTTTCATTAGGCGGGCCAACTTCTGATGCTGAGGACATCGAACCAACAAGCGGGACTGAAATTATCATTTGCACGACGTCCTGTGAAGGGGTCAGAATCTTCTTAATGTCATGGGTTAGCCCTCGTATTTTTACACTAACCTCAGCCAGAGGGAGACAATAAAATATTCCAGCTTTTTTTATTACGTCTAAAAGATTTTCTTGTAATTAATGAAAGTCTTTGGATTTGAAACATTTTCAAATAAAAGTAACTCATTTAAGAAAGAAAAGTAACTCATAACTGATCCTTGACCTCTCGCAGCCGAGTCAGTAGTTCACTATTATCCCTGACAATATTTTATTTACGTTCAGAAAGAAGTTTTCGAAGCAATGTTAAGATTATCATGATATTTTGTAGTTGGTCAGCAATTTTCCCAGTTCGACCTGGCGAGCAGTAAAGCCAACTGCCTTTTTGAATTCCTCATTCAAGAAAGGCCTTCCGCTCCTGAACTCCAGGTACTGCCTGTAGATCTCATCGCATGGCTTGTCATGGCTTGGGATTTTCTAAAAACAACAAGCGGGGTGACAGGCGCGCAGCTGGTCTCTTGGGTGTCCCAACCTTTGCAAATTTTTTGGCCAAGACGCTCCCTTAAAATTCATTAAATGGAATAGACCGAATTAAGGAAAAACCCAACATGCGCATATCTCAATATGATATATGTGTCCTAATTTATATATACGTCCTTAGGTTATGTCGACAAGGAGCTGAAATTTTCTAAGCATGTTGAAACGCAAGCTAACACATCCAACAAATTTCTTGGATTAATCAGACGCTCATACGAGTTCCTAGGTGCAGAAGCGACGAAGCTGTTGTTTGTTGCTGTCGTGCGCCCGAATCTAGAGTTTGGAAACGTTGTAGGGTCACCGAGATTTGAAAAGGACAGAAGTTTAAGAGATAATGTTCAAAGACGTGCAACAAGGATATTTCCAGGCTTGAAGGGCAGGTCCTATGAAGAAAGATTGAAGATTATGAAGCTTCCAAGCCTCAGTTATCGACGTCTGCGTGGTGACCTCATTGAAGTATACAAGTATACTCATGGTTTATACAAGGTCCCTGAAGGATTACTAGAATTTGAAACAAGAACCAACACAAGGGGCCACGGCTATAAACTAAAAAAAAACGCGCTGCATCTTCTCCACGCGACAAAATTTCTTCTCGCTTCGAATCACCGACATGTGGAACAGCCTCCCCAATGACATCGTTGGCGCTCTAAGTATGAACGCGTTCAAGAACAGACTAGATAAAGCTATGGAAAAATATATGTTCAGATTTGAAATGCCTAGCACCATATCGAACCCGGTGGAAGTCTAGTAGCTACTTGAAACTATCGTCAGTCATGAAAGGATCCGGTCAAATGAAACGATATTAGATCTTCTGTGAACAAGGCACGAAAAGGAAAAGAATCGGCGACAGGCCACATCGGGCCTACACTTCAGCGCCAAGATCAATATGTTATGTTATATTTCAAAGGTTCAGGTTTCAGTACCTGAGATGAACAAATATCAACGAATACAACACTTCCCACATGCAGATCCTCGCGTGCCCTCCTATACCTTGTTCACCCAGTCATACCACACACCATACCACCTAATTTAACTTTCAAATTAGCATACATGAGGCGTGGGGAATTATTACATCGTTAATTAACGATTGTATCAAAGGAAATATGGAACAAATGAATTAAAATAAATGAAAAATTTCCCGCCTAAGTACATTTCTTTCGTGAAAAACACGAATAAATAAAAAAACACGAATATTCGTGAAAAACACTAATAAAATAAATGAATCACGAAGCGTCATCAAGAATTCAAAAGCGACTTCAAATTCACATATGATATGATAGATTAATGATAATTAAGAGATAAATCTAAGTATAATTGTTTCCTGTAGATTTAAGAGATATTAATAGATTAGTCAATAATTTGTACATTCATTATTCTAAAGGGCAGCACTGAACGAATTGCATGGGGAAAATATTATATGGGGAAAATGGGGAAAATATAATATTGTTTATCCGTCATGTGAAAATAAATGTTCTTTAAAAACTGCACTCATTATAAATTATACTGCAAAGATGAAGGCTTTAAAAAATAAAATAAAACAATGTAAACCATTCACAATATTCACACCATATTATCAGCTTATAAAAAATCAATGATACATTAAAATATCAAATAAAAACATGCCAGCAACAAGCACAAATTTTTGAGAAAGGGTTGAATTAAACATCATCATAACATGGAAAAAGGCACAATATAAAACAGGGCAAAGGTGGCAACATGAAAAACATTACACAATAACGGGCACATAATGCAAGCAAAATCGGACATAAGCAATATATATAGATATAATATATATATATATAGAAAATAAATTATAAAATTGAATAGCCATCATGCAATTGCGGAAAATAATATCGATGTATATAATCATATAACTTTTGTGTTCCAAACATTAAATATAGGGGAAATATTGATCTATTTAGAACGGCACTGAAAAAAAAAACTTTAAAAAAATCTGAAAAACTGTTCAGTAGTGCCTGAGACGAAGAACTCACATCTTCTTACGGGTTTAAATATGTAAATAATAATAATAGCCAAAATAAATCGACGGTTCAAACTTGAGACAGAAAAAAATTTGAATCACGTGAAGCGAAATTCGGGCGCCAGGTTAAATGGGAGTAATTTGAAGGAAATTAAATTTGACGTTAACTGGACAGAAAAACGGAGCTCTAGCGTAGCCTGGGACTGCTACACACTGCGTCAATTCCCTTATTGGCCACATACAGTATCACAATTTTATACTAAAGAAAATTTGGTACCAAAATAACCAGGAACCGACTTGGAATATTAAACTTTTAAGTGGAGTTGGACTTTGTTTACATCACTAATTTGAATTTTATTTAAGATTAATTTAAGGAGGAATGCTTGTAATCTTTTGATATCTTGGGAGCCAACGAGCAAACAGTCGTCAACGGAAAAAAATGTCGGGGTCACACAAGCACATTGCGGGAAGCATTAAATTTTGGCCGAGAAGTTTGAAATAATTTTTTTTGTATTGATAATAGCTACTCAGGCGGCAGAGATTAGATCGTTGCTATAAAAATCTACCCCACATGCAGGCTACTTTGATGCATATAATAACAATACGATAGTTCAACTGAAGTTTTTCACTGTACTCACCCATCATGTTCTGCACATGACTCACCCATCATGTTCTGCACATGACTCACCCATCATGTTCCTGAGCTTGACGCTGCACATGATGTAGTCGCCGAAAGTTCCGTTGCCGTCCTTGTCGCCGTAGCGCAGCATGAGCGCGTCGCAGATGTGCTTGTTGAGCTTGTAGCCCGCGCTCGCCAGCGCCGCGCGCAGCTCAGGACAACTTGCAGGGTCCGTCCTTGTCGGAGAGCTGGAAGCAGTTCTGGGGGTAGGGGGGTTATATGAGACAGAGGTTATAATGACTATATAAGTCATAAGATGGAGGTTTTAGCAACTATATAAGTCATGAGATAAGGTGATATAACAACACAACTTGGAGGGTCCGTCCTTGTCGGAGAGCTTGAAGCAGTTCTGGGGGTAGGGGGTTGAAATATGAGATGGAGGTGATAACAACTATATAAGTCATGAGATGAGGGGATATAACAACTACAACTAAGAGGATCTATCCTTGTCGTAGAGCTTGAAGTAATTCTGGAGGTTAGGAGGGTTATAATATGGGACAGAGGTTATAACAACTATACAAGTCAAGAGATATGGAGATATAAACATTACAACTCAGAGGATCCATACATATCCATACAGGAAGAGTAAGGCCACTGTTATAACAACGCAAATTTTGACAAATTTCGATGAGCCTTCTTTGTCGTAGAGTTGGGAAAGTCCTTGGAGGTGGAAAAGGAATAACCAGAGTTACACCCATACAAACCTTTACTCTTCTCTGATCAATAGTCAAAATCTCTGATCTTCTCACGCTTCCATAAATGTTGCCTACATCAAACCGTGTCACACGACGATCACTGCTCTCCTCAAGCTCGCGAAAAAGATCTCGAGTCCTTGGCTGCTAACGTCGTCGCATTAAAAGTGTTCAACAAAGTCGACCACGCTCTCCTCCTTACCATTATTGCGATCTACGACCTCCTTTATAGCATAATTCGGCAGCTATTTATATGCTTTATCCTTAGCTTTAAATACCGATCTCCCTTCAGGTCAGTCCCAAAAACTTGGCTGCATCTATCGCTTGCGCCACTGAAATACGCTGTGACTGACTGCTTTTTAGTGGCAACATCGCATAACAGGCTGATTGACGTATCATCTTTGTTACGTCCCCGATGCTTCACGCTGCAGAGGCGGTAAATCGTCCGTCACGCTTTTCACAACATGATGCTTCACGCTATCAGGCACGTGGTCCTCTTTTGTCCACCTTTCCCAGCGCGTGCATGACCATCGAAATAAAAAGCTACAACCCACACCCAGAGTGCTGATACCAACATGGATGAAATCAACACCCAGGTGCAGATTTCGGTCGATGCAAAGTCGGACGAACTCACTTTCAAGGTGCAAATGTCAGCTCAGAGTCGCTCACCTTCCAGGTGCGGATGTCGGTCCAGAGTTGGATGAACTCTCGCAAGCCAAGTTTGCCGGCGAGGTCGATGTCCTTCATGGAGATCATGGAGCGGCAGATGTCCTTACTGAAGCCTTCGAACGCGAACTCTGCGGGGTCAGGGGTTGAGTTGAAATTCAAAATCAGGTTGAAGTTATAACTGCTCTGTTGGCAGTGCAGCAATGGCATGCTCTCAACATACGATTTGTTTCTTAAGTTTTTTAAAGGTAATCTTTATCAAAATATGGAGTCTACAACAGCGTGTGTCAGTCTTACCCACTCACCCGTCCGTCTAAACAGCAAATAGAATCATTGTAATTATTGTAATTTTAATGAGGTAAGCCAATCTCTTTGGAGATTGACTTACCGTCAATCTCCAAATCTTCGCCGGCGACTTTGGCGAAGAAACCGCGGATTCGCTCGTCCTGCTCCGCGGCCTCCTCAGTGGCGGTCTTCACCTATGGGAGGACGGGGGTTGTAAACGAGGCTGGGGGTTGTAAACGAGGCTGGGGGTTGTAAACGAGGCTGGGGGTTGTAAACGAGGCTGNAAATACATTTATAGAGAAAATCTTAAATGTTATAGAATATAATTGAAGATAAATACATTTATAGAGAAAATCTTAAATGTTATAGAATATAATTGAAGATAAATACATTTATAGAGAAAATCTTAAATGTTATAGAATATAATTGAAGATAAATACATTTATAGAGAAAATCTTAAATGTTATAGAATATAATTGAAGATAAATACATTTATAGAGAAAATCTTAAATGTTATAGAATATAATTGAAGATAAAT